GCCCTGATGTTGGGAGGGATTGGGGGCAGGAGGAGAAGGGGACAACAGAGGATGAGATGGCTGGATGGCATCACCGACTCGACGGACATGAGTTTGAGTAGACTCCAGGAGTTGGTGATGGACAGGGAGGCCTGGCGTGCTGCAATTCATGGGGTCACAGAGAGCCGGACACGACTGAGCGACTGGACTGAACTGAACTGAGAGGTGGGAGATGTGTGTGGCCAGCAGAGGGCTTGTGGTCAGTTGGTTACAAGGGACATACAGGACTGTGTTCATGCGTGGAAGGAAGTGAACTTGCAGGAGAGAAGGAGAATTGCTGATCTTTGTGAAGCACACCTCACCTTCCAGGCTTCCAACAGGATGTAATGCCTGTGTGGGCTGCTCTTGTTCTAGAGCCAGGAGTCCCCCATTTTGATCCAGCTGCGGGGGGAGGCCCCATTGTGATGGCAGTGCCCTAGTCACGTCCTCCCCTGCCTGCCCTGGGTCTACTGTTCCAATTGAGTGCATTTTAGGGAGTTGGTTGTTGCTATCTTTTCAGAGAACTTAGCCCCTTGACAGTCTGCAGAAGGAATCCAGGCACACCTGGCATTCTTTGTCTTGGTCAGACCTATTAAATACTTGGGGCCAGGATGGGGGTCTCCTGGAGGGGAAGCAGGCTTTCTAGCTTCCTCATCCCATAGTCCGCCCCCACCAGCGGGACAGATTGCTCTTGATTTTTTTAAATTTAAGTTTACATTTTTTCTATTTGGCCGCACCAGATATTTAGTTGTGGCATGGGTTTTCTCGTTCCCTGACCAAGGATCAAACCTGGGACCCTGCATTGGAAACACAGAATCTTATCCAGTGGACCACCAGGTTGCTCCCAGATTGCTCCTGATTACCTCAAGTGCAAAGGTCCATATAGTCAAAACCATATTTTTGCCAATAGTCATATATGGATGTGAGAGTTGGACCGTAAAGAAGGCTGAGTGCTGAAGAATTGATGCTTTTGAACTGTGGCTCTAGAGAAAACTCTTGAAAGTCCCTTGGACAGCAAGGAGATCAAACCAGTCAATCATAAGGGAAATCAACCCTGAATATTCATTGGAAGGACTGATGCCAAAGCTGAAGCTCCATACTTCGGCCAATTCATAGGAAAAAACCTTGATGCTGGGAAAGATTGAGGGCGGGAGGAGAATGGGCAACAGAGGATGAGATGGCTGGATGGCATCACTGCCTCACTGGACATGAGTTTGAGCAAACTCCAGGAGATGGTGAAGGACAGGGAAGCCTGGCGTGCTGCAGTCCATAGGGTCACAAAGAGTCAGATACGACTTAGCAACTGAACAACAGCAATCAGACCTGCTTTGGTCCCTCCAATCACTCACCCTCCAAGCAGCTTAACAGAATTTCTCCAGAACAAATGGAGTCATCTTACTGAGGGGAATTTCAATGAATAAAATTTTCTCTACTTTAAGCCTATCCAGTTGTTTGAAGAAAGAGAGAATTGACTTATTATGACTCCAGGGAATGAACCAAGACCAGAAATGAAAGTTCAAGAGAAGGACAAATGAAGAAATGTTTTAACACTCACAGTTGTCTAGCATGGGACAGGATGCCCTGTCAAGGGTGAGCTCCCTGACACCCGAAGTAAGCAAGCAGAGGGAAGATGGCTGTCCCTCCAGGATGGTGTACCTGTGTCCACCCTGCAAAGGACCCCAGCCTGGAGCAGCTCTGGATCTACAACACACAGTGATCCCAGGTGGGGCCTTTCACGTTAGTTTTCTAATATGATTACATTACATTGCTTTTAATACTAATTACTGTGGGCTTTCAAGGTGGCCTAGTGGTGAAGATTCCACCTGCCAATGCAGGAGACTCAGGTTCAATCCCTGGGTTGGGAAGATCCCCTAGAGAAGGAAATGGCAACCCACTCCAGTATTCTTGTCTGGGAAATCCTGTGCACANGCGGAGAGGGAGGTGGGAGGGGGGATCGGGATGGGGAACACATGTAAATCCATGGCTGATTCATGTCAATGTATGACAAGACCCACTACAATGTTGTGGAGTGATTAGCCTCCAACTAATAAAAAAATAAATAAAATAAAAATAAAATTAAAATTAAAATAAAAAAAGTCAGGTATGACTGAGTGACTGAGCATAATACTAATTATTACCGAGAAATAATCATCTAGAAAATAACCCCAGTGAACTTTTATGCAGAATGTAGTTTTCCAGAGCATTTTGGGAGTTTTTTGCTACCCAGAGACGGAAGCCAGGTGGAACCAGCCAATCAGAAGATGGTCCTTTGCAGTCCTCTCTAGAGATGCATGTGATGGCGGGAGAGATGCAGACCTGCCCCTCCCCTCACCCCAGCCCTGAATCTTCTGGTCGGTTTTGTTTAACTCTCATGTGGAGACAGATACTAATTTATTCCTTGGTAGATGAAAATAATCTCTAATAAAGAGGCTTTTCAGGACCAAGTAGCAGAAATAATGCAAGTGTGTTTGGGGTAACAGCACAGGTGTTCAGGCAGTGGTTGACATTTGCTTTATCCACATGGTCCAGGTTTCTTCCTGACTCCTCCATAGGGAAATTATCCTCATTAACATGGAGATAAA